GAGAATGGAGCCAGGCTCTTCTCTGGGTGGGGAGTGAGGGGTGGGGTGGGGTCTGGAAAAAGCCTAATGTAGTTTCCACCAGCTCAGCCCGGCCCCTCAGAGGCCGTCCCCACTGAGCTCCCCTACCACTCCCAGCACCTCTCCCTTTGGGTTCAGCCAGCAAAGCCCACCCCAAGGCCGTCCCAGTGAGCCCATGGCAAGGCAGGGGCAAGCCCAGGTGAAGTCGAAGCCGAGACAAGTCCATTCACGCACTGGGGAAGCACCGAGCCAACTTCCCACTGGGAGCCCCTGGGGGGGGAGAAGACAGAGGTGGCCCTCCCCATCCGGCAGACCCCACCCAGCTGCAGGAGGGAGATGGGGCAGCAGCCTCCAGCCCAGACCTGCCTGGGGGAGACCCTAAGAGGGGCTCATGGGGTGGGGCTGGGCGGATCAGGGGGCGGGACGAGAACATAGAGTCAGAAGGGGCAGGAGAAGGTGGCAGGAATGGAGAGGCTCCCTCCCCCTGTGCAAGAGGAAGGTGGAGTTGGGGGCAGGAGCCGAGCCCTGGGCAGGAGCGGGGACGGGCCCAGCCCTCTGGGAGGTCCTACGGGAGGTCCGCCTGCAGCCCAGAAGCCTCCCCCATCTCCTAGGCTGCCCCACACTGAGGTGAGCCTGGTCTGGGGGTGTCCGGCCCCTCACCCCCAGCCCCGATGCTGCCCCCGGGGCCATGGGACCCTGCGCTTCCCCCAGCACTGCCGTCCTGAGGCCTAGACAGCTGGCCAGGCAGGGAGGAAGGGAGGGCGGGAAGGCCGGAATACAGGCGGGGCCGGGACCAGGCCGCCAGGACCCTGGGCTTCAGAGTTGGGCAGGGCCGGGCTGGGAGGACGCCAGACTCACTCCGACCCTGGTCCCTGCCCTGTCCCTGTGCCAGGCCCCGGCAGGGGCAGACAACACTTCCTTTCTCTGCCCCTGGCTCCTATCGGGGAGGGATGGGCCCCAGGCGGCCTGGACGGCCCTCAGCCAGGCGTCCCTTGGGGGCGTCAGGGAGGCTCTATGACCAGCCTTTGTGAGGTGGGCTGGGAGTGCATGCTCAGTGCCCAGACAGGTCAGGGTGGTGAGGGCTGCAGGAGTGGACTGCTCAGCCGCCCGCCTCAGGCAGCGGGCACTGCAGAGACCAGGCCACTTCCCTCACAAAGCAGGGGTGGGGGTCTCCTTCCGGAGGGAGCAGCGGGCCTCCTCCCCCGCCCAAAGGTGGCGCAGAGGGAGGGACACGTACCTGCCTTAGTTATGCCAGGAATGTGGCTCCCCAGGCAGGAGTGGGAGGAGCCGTCTTGGGGGCTGTGGACTGGGGGAGGGGCCCTGGCTGGGCACAGCCAGGAAGACTGGCAGGACCAGGAAGACCAGGCAGGGCAGAGCCAGGTGAGAAACTGAGGAAGGAAGTCCCCGTGGAGCGGGTCCAGGTGTGGCCCAGCAGCAGGTGCGCCTCCGGCACAGCTCGGGCAGACTTGCTGGGGGCGTGGCCTGGGAGGACGTGCCCTCCCCCACCCTGGGAGCTCTGAAGGGCCTTTGGCTCCAGGACGGGGGTTCCCCATCAAAGGTGGGACCCAGCCGGGCGAGGTGGCTCACACCTGTAATCCCAGCACTTTGGGAGGCCGAGAGGGGCAGATCACGAGGTCAGGAGTTTGAGATCAGCCTGACCAACATGGTAAAACCCGTCTCTGCTAAAAAAACAAAAATTAGCCGGGCATGGTGGCATGCGCCTATAATCCCAGCTACTCAGGAGGCTGAGGCAGGAGAATCGCTTGAACCCAGGAGGCGGAGGTTGCAGTGAGCCGACTGGGCCGTTACCCTCCAGCCTGAGTGACAGAGCTAGACTCCATCTCAAAAAAAAAGTAGGTGGCACCTAGTGGACTCAAGGGTGGCTTCCGAAGACTAGGGGCCGCCCAGACTTCACCCTGTGCCCTGGGAGGTGGGGTTAGAGTCAGACGGGGAGCGGCCAGCTAGGCACAAGCCCCCTTCATCCATCCCCTTCACTGGAGCCTAGGGTGGGCTTCAATGCCCTTATCTCCCACAGCTGAGGGGAGGGTTGGGCACACAGGACGGTCCCTTCTCCAGCCAGGCCGGCTCCAGGGACCTTGTCCCTCAGGGCTCACCCAGGCTTCTGGGAGGCATTTTCCCCATGCTGGCACCCGTGCCCCCGGCCCCTGCAGATATGGCTGGCTGGCTTCCAGAGCAGAGGCCCACCTGTCCCACGGGAAGCTCCTGGGCTCCCGGGCACCTTCCAGGGGCCCCACCCATGCTGCTTCCCTCCCAGAGGCGAAGCCACGGACCCTCCTCCCAGTGCTGCGCTCGGCCTGGGCACTCACTCCAGACCTAGGGCCTGGCGTGCATAGAGCGGCTTTGGCAGGACTGCTGGGGTGGCTCTCCTGCCAGGCGCCCTCTGACCCCACAGCAAGCCCTCAGTTACTGAGTCAGGGACCCTCGGGCTGGACCGCAGGCTGTGGGTTAATGATTCCCTCCCCTGATCCTGCAGAGACAGCAACTGTCCTCACGCCGACCCCCTCCTCCAGCCCCTCCTCAGCTCCCGACATCAGCACCCCACAGCTGGTCCTAGCTGAGTAAAGCCACATCTTTTCCCCAGACCACAAGGGCCCCGAAGACGGCTAAGGTATCGCATCCCTCCAGTGGAGGCTGGGCTAGGGAGGGACCCGGGGACCCTCCTCTGTGCTGCATTTGGACCCTGGACCCTGAAGACAGCTTGGGGTCTGCTGACCACTGGATAGATGAGAGGCCACAGTGCTGGCCGCTTTGGGTGCTGCCCCTCCCCCACACAGCCCTCCAGGGAAGTACACAGACAGAGCAGTGGACAGTCCAGGACCCCGCAAGGACCCCACAAGGGCCAGGCCAGCGTCAGGGTAGCTAAGTAAACAGAAGCCAGCACTTTCCTGCTGGCCGGCGGAGCAGATCGGAGGGACAGGAAGTCAGGACCCTTGCCGTGGCCTCGGGGAGGAAGCATTCTCCGGGCCCCCCACCAACATCCCTTCCCAGACAGCCATGAGGGAGCAGACAGGATGTGGGGGCGACAGGGACCTCCTACGTTTTCCCTGCCACATTCCCCAGCCAAGGACCTCAGCCCCCAACTAGGACTTGTCCTGGGGCTGTCATGGGACTTCTGCTCCCCCTGCCCCGCCTCCTGCTGGGGTCAGGCTTAGGGCCACACTCAGACCATTCAGCAGAGACGTGGGAACAGCGAGCAGGAAGACCTCCCAATGGCGAATTCCGCACCGTCCAAATTCACAGAAGCCCTCACCTCGAAGCCCTGCCGTCCCACCCTACCCCCACGGTTGTGTGGGGTGCTCAAGGCATGGGCCCCTCTAGATGAATATTTGGGCTAACACAGGAACTTAACAGCTGGTGACATTTACCTGTCCAGCTTCTCCCTAGAAGAGGCCTCCAGGAGGAAGTGTGGAGAGCCAGGAGGAGGCAGGAGGCCAACCCTCGCAGGGCTGGGACTTGCCTTCCGCCCCAGGGCCAAAGATGTCTAACTCAGGGCTGGCACCACGGACCTCTGACGGCTGGAGGTGTAGCCGGGAGGGGAGGCTAGCGGAGGACCAGGTTAGATCACAGTCAGACCACAGGTCAGACCACAAGACGCCGGGTGCTGCAGCAGAGCACAAGAGGACCCCTCCAGTGACCCCTGCAGCCTGCCCACCTCGGCCACCAGCCCGACCCCCATCGGCCCCCACACGAGCCCTCCACCACGCACCTTCCACACAGAATTCCACCTCCTCCAGGTTCCGCAGAGTGATGCGCATGAGACTGGAGTTGAGCATCAGTTCGTTCTTGTGAGCCGGCCACAGGTACGGGGGTGCAGGGTTCACGAAGAAGATCCGGGTGTCCCCAGTGGACACCTGGTTGTCACAGATGAGGGGGTCTCCAAAGCCGCTGATCACCACCTTGTTGCCGCCGTCCAGCAGGCTCTCCCGGGCCACCAGGTCTTTGCCCTTCAAGTACCTCCAGACCCGGACCTGGGGTGGACATGGGGGTAGGTGTCATTAGTCCTCTCCTGGGGAGAGAGCTAGACTGGGGCTGCAGCTGCTCAGTACAATGTCCACAGTAGATTCAAGCCCTGTGCAGAGATGTGGGGAGACCTCTGGTTAACCCCGCTGTTAGACGCTGGGGAAGCACACCCGCGGCGGCCACAACCCACGCAGGAACACTCGGGATGTGCCACCTGTGAACACACCCCTCCTCCAGGAAGCAGCTCCCACCCCAGGTCTAACCAACTTCAGCCACCCCAGCTCCAATAATGTCCCTCTCAGTTGAGGCTGAACTGGGGAAGGGGGCCCACCTGGCCCAGGTGCCTGCCTCCCTCCCCTCCCCACCTGCCCACTGCTCAGGGCCCACCTCCTGGGCAGTGGTCATGGAGGACTCCGCTTCAGGGTAAGGGGGCAGCATGGCTCCTGGGGGCCCTGCCCTCGGGAAGTGAGAGCCCCTTTTCTGGGCTCCTGGTCTGCACAGTCAGGGCAGCCCCAGAACCACGGAATCAAGTTTGGGCAGCACGGGGCGCCCCACCCTCCACCTCCGCTGCTCTAACGGTGGCCTGCGGTAAGCCAGCAGCAGACCTGGCGGCCCTCGCGGGGACAGGGACCCAGGCACCCCTTGAAAACGGAGCCAGGAGAAGGCCCCTTCCGGAGCTCTGGGGGGCTGCGGCCGCAGGACGGGGTGGGACAATGGTGGCCTGTCCACTGCGCAGCCCCGCGGGGAGCCTCGGACTGCCGCATCTGCAGGGACCCCTCAGCCGCCCGGGCAGCGCCGCTTCCAACCCCGCCCCCCAACAGCAGCTTCAGGAGGCAGCTCACCCAGCAGGGGGAGGGTCTGGTGGCTTTCCTCGCCTTCCCCCACCCCAGCCACACCCAGGAGCAGCGGGGAGGAAGTCGGGAAAATCCTGCAGGGACCTGGCAAAGTGCCCTGGCCGCTGTGGAGGAGACGGGGCCGGCGGGGGAGCCCAGCCGCAGCCCGCGCCGCCGGCGTTCAAGAGGCTGCCGCCTTCTCCACCTCCGCGGAGGGGAAGCAGACCGATTTCGGTCCCAGGAGTTGGTTTGGGGGGCACAGGGGAGCCGGCTCTGGGTCTCCCCGGCCCCTGCTGGGAGAAGACGGTGGGGGGGGGCCCGGCGTACCTGCCCCGGGGGCTCCCAGAGGCACCTGAGGGAGCCGCACGGCAAACTTCCCGGGCTGGGGGAGCCCCGGTCCCCGCAAGAGCGCGGCGGGCACCGGCCCTGCCCCCAGCACACGAGGCCCGGCGACGGCCCCGCCCACTTCTCGGCTCCCGCCCCCCCCACTGCGGCACCCCCGCCCGGCTCCTGGGGTCGCAGCGCAGGCCGCGCCCCGTTCTCTCTCCTGACCACCCCCCTCGCCCCGGGAAAGGCGTCTCGGGAGGCGACCAGCGGGCTCAGCCCCCCAGGCCCTCCCGTTCTCCGCGGCCGGCGGGGGGCGCGCGGCAGCCGCAGTCCCGGGCGAGGTGCACTTGTTTCCGCGGCCGGGGGGCGCGGGCGGGACCCGCAGCAACTTTCCCGGCGCCCCCCCGGGCTGCGCGGTCGTCAAGGGAGCGGAGCTGGGGCTGCGCGGCGGCCGCGGCGGTTCCCACGGCCCGGGGCGGGGTCCGGGCGGGCAAGGGGCGTCGCGGGCGCACCTTGCAGGAGTAGGTGTGCTGCACCGGGTCCACGTTCAGGATCTCCTCCACCGTGCCCGTGAGCACCACGTTCGCCTCCTCCTCGCGCCGCTCCAGCGCGCGCTCCGGGCAGGTCCCGCGGGCGCCGGGCAGGACGCGCGCGGCCACCACCAGGAGCAGCAGCAGCGGCCGCGGCGGGCCCGGGCGGGACGGGCCGGGGCCGGCCATGGCGCAGGGGAGGCGGCGAGGAGCGCGCGGGCCGCGCCGGGGACGGGACTGGACAGGACGGGACGCGGCTCCGGA